TCCTCCTCCCTCCCTCCTCCTCCTCCCTCCCTCCCCTCCTCCTCCTCCTCCTCCCTCCCCTCCCCTCCTCCTCCTCCTCCTCCTCATTCTATACCTTTCTCTCCCTCCCCTGGAACCTGTTGCAACCAATCAACCTGTTGGAGCAAAACTCTGTTACTATTCTTGTAAGACAATGTTATGTGACAGGCAAGATGTGTTACTCATAACTGGAACTTAATCTACCCAATGGGAAGACCTTTCACCACACTGCTCTGAGGAATGAGAGAACGGATTCTTTTTCATTTCCTTCTCCGTAATTGAGTACCACTTTTTATTGGAATTACAGGTGAACAGGTAAACATGAGAAGTAGGTAACTAGTAGATAAATGAGTGAGGCAGAAAGGAAGGTGCCTAGATGGCTAATTTTTTCTCCCCTCTAGACGGAAGCAATATGTCCTTACAGCCCACACACACATATCTGGCACACTATTAATAATGTCTTTAAAATGCAATTTGATTAGCTCCATCCATCTAGCTACGCTAAAAAGTGTGTGTGTGTGTGTGCGTGTCAAACCTTGGCATGAGGATTATTATTGGCATCATCAAGTCTCTGCTTTATTGCCATTTAATGACACCTCCAAGCCTCAGGTTGCTTCATCTCCAGTGTAGCTATAAATGCAACGGAATATGGACTAGCTGAGAAACCCTAGTGGTACCGATCTGTGAAACGGACACTTTTAATAGGGCCTGTGATGTCCTCTTGGCAAATTTTAGTTGAAGACGCTGAAATAAAATGAGAACTCGGAGAATCAAGTGATTTTCTGTAAACTACCAACCGATTGAGCAAACCCATTTGTATTCCTTTGACGCGACCAAAGAAGCTTTGTGGAATGATCAACATCGAAATGGATAATCGCTAATTTTTCCCCAATATGGCATCACCTAGACTACCAATTCACAGTTATACCTTGCTTTGATCTCAGGAGGATCAGAAAGGATTTAGCCCTCTAGACACCTTCTTTTCTGCCTCCCGTCCTATCTGCCCACTGCCTATGTACCATGCTTATCCGCACATCTCTAGCTCCAATTAGTAGTGGCACCTATACACAAAGGTTGAAATGAAACTAAGTTCCTTCTTCTATCCAAGAGGTTGATGCCGTTTGGGGTAGAAGGTCTTCTCGCCTGTAAAATTAGGTTTGAGATGCGCATTATTTGGGTTACTTTTCGCGTTGTGATGTCTTAAAAAATTGGGAAGAGGGTTTCATCTCATTGAATTGCCTTCAGCTT